TAAGTTAAAATGAGGTCCTTAGCACAGGCCCAAATCCAATATGACTGGTGTTCTCATGAGAAGAGGAAATTTGGACACAGACACATGTGGTGGTAAGAGGTATGAAGACATAGTTAGAAGTCGGCCATCTATAAGTCAAGGAGGGAGGCCTGGAACAGATCCTTCCCTCACCACCCTCAGAAAGAATTAACTTTGATCTCAGACTTCCAGCCTCCAGAATTGTGAGAAAATACATTTCTATTGCTTAAGTCACCAGTCTATGGTATTTTCTTATAACAGCCCTAACAAACTAACACACCCAGCAAGTCATTAAACCTTCTAGAGCCTCAGTTTCCACAACTGCAAAATGGGAATCCCTGGCCTGCCCACCTCACAGGTTTGCTGTGGGGATAAAATGAGACCAGATGTGGGAGATGTTTGTAAACTATGAAGAGTTCTACAGATGACAGGATGTCTAACTTCACTTTCAGAGCTGGATCTTTGGGTCCTATTGGGCAAGAAAGCAGATAAAGGCATGGGATCCTGGGACTGTGGTTCCCAGTGAGAGGTGCAGGAGCTGGAATACAGCCTTGGCAATCTCCTGCTCCCAACCCCCAGGGAAGGGAGGGGAGCTGCCCTCCTCCACAGTTATTTAGTGGATGTGGGAGAAACAGAACTTGCGTGGGAGAAGGGAAAGGGAACAGAACAGAAACTGGAGAGCTCTAAGAAATTAAAAGAAAGAAAAAGGACACATGTAAGACCCCGGGAGTTTTCTGGATAAAAACAACACCTTTTATTTGCATGATACCCTGCAGGTCACAAAACACTTGGAGGCACTGGGTTCTCGTTAACCTACTTGAGGTCAGGAATGCCTTTGAGAGTCTGATGAAAGCTACATACCCTCTCTCAGAAAAAAGTAACTCATGCACACAACACATAAAACATTATAGAGCAGCACTGTCCAGCAGAACTTTCTATGAGGATGAAAATGTTCTGTAGCTATGCTGTCCCATACGGTCGCCACTAGCCTCCTGTGGCTACTGAGCACATGAAACATGGCTAGTGTGACTGGGGAAATGAATTTTAAATTATTTTGTTTTAATTATTTTCCATTTAAATATCCACCTGTGGCTAGTGGCTTTTGTGTTGGACAACATAGTTACATACTATTCCAAGGGATTCACAGATCCCTGCAGCTCATCCATGAAATACCCTTGTCAATGGACCCCATGTTATGAACTATTTGTGATGATTACAGTGTTCTCATAATAATTATCTCTTTTTTTGAGCTTACCGGATACATGTATCATGCCATTTAATCCTGTTGAAAACCCCATGACAGAGCTAGAATGGTCATCCCCATTTTATAGATGTGATTACTGAGGCACTGAGAAGCCTACCATCTTACCCCAAGTGTTGTACCTAGATCACAGTGGAGGACTGGGGACTGAAACTGAAGACCTCCTGATGTGAGACCTCAAGTCTTCCCCAACTCTCTAAAACCTGTCCTAAGGGTTTCACCAACTGAAGCCCCGGTTCCCTCCTGAGGCCTTGATAGAAATTATTTCTAGTAACCTAAAGAACTTCCATTCGCACTGCTATGCATCTTTAAAGTGACAAGCAAGAGCTCTGGGGGCTTCTCTTCTCCTTAAAGCCTCCAGCCCAGGCTCTACTGAGGCCAACTTCACGTTGGTAACTGAGTATTCTTCCATTAAGGTTTGTCTCTGATCTTCTCTTTGGCAGAGGGATGGTTTCCTGTTCTCCATTAGTCCTGTCTGATTCCCAAGGCCATAGAGGGCATGGTGCTGGTAAAGAAGTTGGGTTTCTCCATGTGGGATGCCAGCGACCACACACTGCCTCTCAAATAAAGAACCCGGAACCTTCATGCTGGGAATGCACTCTCTTTGCCTTCTACTCTGGGCCAAGAAATCCCAAATCACAATAGTGTTCACAGGCCACAGGACCATATGGGTCCACACCATACAGGTCAATCCTTCACCATGGCCTATGGAGCTTAACAAAACTCACTTCCACGTTGTGTCTGTGTCTCTACTCACTTCTAACTTCTAAAACTTCCCCTCATTCACCAGGCATATTCAGATTTTATCTTATCAGCCTGGAATTCTATTTTCCCCAATTCTTCCCCCATCAAAAAATTCCTTCAAGGCCCAGCCCAAATGCCATACACCTCCATGAAAACTTCCAGCCCCCAAGCTTCCAGAACATGGTACCAAAATATACTGCTTACATGTCTACTGATATGCTTTGGCTGTCTCCCCACCCAAATCTCATCTTGAATTGCAGTTTCCATAATCCCTACGTGTTGTGGGAGAGACCCGGAGGGAGGTAATTTAATCATGGGGGCAGTTACCCTCATGCTGTTCTCGTGATAGTGAGTAAGTTCTCACAAGATCTGATGATTCTATAAGGGGCTTTTCCCCCTTTTGCTTGGCACTTATCCTTCCTCCGTCCATGTGAAGAAGGACATGTTTGCTTCCCCTTCCACCATGATTGTAAGTTTCCTGAGGCCTCCCCAGCCTTACAGAACTGTTGAGTCAATTAAATCTCTTTCCTTTATAAATTACCCACTCTTGGACAGTTCTTTACAGCAGCATGAGAACAAACTACATCTACATAGCACTTTTTCCACACTGTCTTGTATTGCTTTTTTTTTTTTTTTTTTTTTTTTTTTTTGACAGAGTCTCACTTGGTCACCCAGGCTGGAATGCAATGGCACAATCTCAGCTCACTGCAACCTCTGCCTCCCGGGTTCAAGTTATTCTCCTGTCTCAGCCTTCCAAATAGCTGGGATTACAGGCACATGCCACCACACTCAGGTAATTTTTGTATTTTTAGGAGAGATAGGGTTTCACCATGTTGGCCAGGCTGGTCTCAAACTCCTGACCTCAAGTGATCCTCCTGCCTCGGCCTCTCAAAGTGCTGGGATTACAGGCGTGAGCCACTGTGTCCGACCTGTATTGCTTCCTGAGTGTGGGATCCATGTTGCTTCTTGAGTGTGTGGTCCATATCACATTCAGCTTTTAAATTTCTAACCTCATTGAACAGAGTGCTTGACAAGAAGTAGACACTCAGTAGACTAGTGGTTCTCAAACTTATTAAAACACAGATTGCTGAGCCCCACCCAGAGAGTTTCAGATTCAGCAGGTCCTGGGTGAAGCCTGAGAATCTGCACTTCTAATAATCTCAAGTGACACTGATGCCACTGGCCTAGGGAAGCACTGTAAGCTTGAGAAGCACTGTAAGAGGTGTTTGTGGCATAAATAAAAGATGGAATGGATTAAAATTTCCCTTAAAAATCCTATCACCAAGGGCTCCAAAAATGAGCCTTCAAATGACCAGGATAAAAGAAATATATTACCAACATTTACTTCTAGATAAGAGGCAAAAATAGAAGCAGCAGAAAAAAAGAATGGCAACAAAAGATCAGGGAACCAGATGAAAAATGAAAACTGTCAGAAAAACTTTAGGAGCACCACTGTTGGTTTCCTTTTAGCCCTACCTGATAACTTTTTACAATCAGACCAGAAATTAAAAATAAGTTCATTTTTCCTTTTTTTTTTTTTTGTTAAACAGAGTCTCACTCTGTTACCCAGGCTGGAGTGCAGTGGCACAGTCTCAGCTCACTGCCACCTCTATCTCCCTAGCTCAAGTGATTCTCGTGCCTCAGCCTCCTGAGTAGCTGGGACTACAGGTACGCGCCACCATGCCTGGTTACTTTTTGCATTTTTAGTAGAGACAGGTTTCGCCATGTTGGCCAGGCGGGTCTCAAATTCCTGACCTCAAGTCATCTGCCTGCCTCAGCCTCCCAAAGTGCCAGGATCACAGGCATAAGCCATCGCACCTGGCAATAAGTTTATTTTTCTGACTCAGTCATGTATTTTTAAATATTCTAGGGAAACACTCTGACTCAGTAAAACCAAAATTGGGAAATTTTCATAAGAAAATAATCAGAAATGAATGTCAAAATGATGCACAAGGAGAGTTGTGAAGACCTGTTTACAATAACCAGAAATTTGGAACAACTTAAGTGTTTGGCAAAAGAAATTAGATTCAATAAATTATGGTATGTCCATAAAAAGAATGCTATAAAACCTTTTCAAAGGTCTTTACAGGGGAATATTTATTGATACAGAAAAGATGCATGAGACAACAAATGAAAAAATAATCAAGCTAAAAAATAGTTTAAATAGCATGATCTAACTGGACAAAACCCACAAATAGATATAGAGAAATAGATAAAAACAGAGCTATGGAAAGAAAGCTATTTACCAAATTGGGAGTTAAGACAAAAATTATTTTTTAATTTTAACATTTCTATTTCAATCATTTCTACAATAAACACATACTGCTGTGTAATTTATTTACAGGGTCTTAAAAAATAAATGATAGTCTGTAGGCGGTTTATTCTCTCCATTTCTTCTCATGAAGGACCAAAGAGTTGAATTGAAGCCTGAGCATTTGTATAAGCTTTTCCCCACTCTGCTCTTTGGCAAACACCAACACAATTTGGGCTCCATTTATAAGGCATCTGCTGCACCAACCCTCTTTCTTGGTGCTTACTGGACCTGCTCAGGGTTAATTTCTAACTCAAAGAACCTAACTTTGAATAACTCCATACCACCGGCAAAGCGACTGACTTTGGGGAATGACATTTACAACGTATCCACTGTTATTTGGTCACCCAGCAAACTGTCATTTTTCAGAAACCAGGGCTGTCTCACAGACTGCCTTTCAATAAGGTGGGTTGCTTAGCAACTGCCAAGGAATTAAGAAGACAGAATAAGGCATCTGCCAGAGATATTTTATGACCAAAATGAGCTGCACTCATGTGTCTGGTTGTGTTCAAGGTAACCAAGTAAGAGATAACACCGGACTATTTTTGCATCATGAGGAAAAATACTTGGCTTCTGCCCAGAAGGGCAATTATCTCAAAGTCTTGGCAGGCCCCATGGTATGAGAAATGGTAACTGATACGGGGGTGAAAAAAAAAAATCACTGACCTTCATAAATACTGATGATATGAGGATGGTTGAGAGATGACATGATCTCAATCTCTCGTCTGATGTGAACCATGTCTTGTTCATCCTTAATTTTGTCCTTACGAATGGATTTTATAGCAACCTATAAAGTCAGGAAATGAAATGTTATTCAGAGAACTAAACAGATGCAAATCAGCCATTGGGGGAGTTTGGAAAATAAATACAGATGTTACTTGTTGGCAGAACCGACAATAACCAAAACAAAGCTTGGAAAAGCCCCCTGTCATGTCTTTCATACATAGCAAAAACATTCTTCTCCCGGCAACAGAAAACATCAGGTTTTAACAGCCTGGGATTTGTGATGGTGGTTTTTGTTTTTGTTCTTGTTTTGTTTTGTTTTTGTTTTTTTCATAAAGCAGAGGCTGCTTAACACGGCCAGAGTCATTTACTCGAGGAACCCTGATGCTTTGAAAAAAGAAAAAAGGCAAGTTCAGTTTACAGGGTATTGATGATTAAACATGGTTAGGTGAAACTGGTTACCACTCAGCTCCACGGTGCAGCGGCCACAGCGGTGGCTATAAAGAATCATTACTGCCTGGCCAACCTCAAGGCCAGCTCTGCCTCAAGCCTTGGTTTTTAAGACTCCAGGCTATGCTGTGTTTACGCAAGGGCTCAGAAGCGAATTCCTTCCTACATCCTTCCTCTTGCTCAAGGCACCTTCAATAGCACATGGTATGACTAGAGGGCTCTTCTGGAGACAAATCAGGGTAAAACAAAGCGAGTGACAGCTCATCTCCCTGCCCGACCCCTGTCAATTTCCAAAGCTCAGTGCCAAAGTTGCAAATCCAAACTGCAGAGACCTGCTAGGGCCAACACACAGAGCAATTACTCAAAAGAAACACACCAAGAAAAAGGCAATGAATGACAACAGGAACCTAATAAGGAAAAGCGTGTTTGCCAATGGATTCATCTTTGCTCATAAACAAGCTGGTTGGTAACTTAATCAGATTGGCTCCAAGCGGGCCAAAAACTACTTGAGGAAGGAGCATCCATGGGTAACAAAGAAGCCCACCAATCAATGTGCTGCCGGATCAGAAAGCCTGCCCAGTTCCCTTCCAGGCTGGTCCTCTTGTGACCTCGACTCTCATCAGTGGAGGTCAGGTAAACTTTCCTAGGGGAAAGGCAGCTAAACCATCCTTCTGGATTATAAGGGCATAGAGTTATCTGGAGCAAAGAAAGTCCTCGTTATCAGCAACCCACGGCTACACCTTGCCTATCACACAGTCAACCCCAGCCAGCCTCAGCAGGGATATATTCACTTCTGGGAGCACGTGCTACTTCTGACTTGCACCAGCTCTCCACCAAGCACTACAAATGGAAACATTTCTAAAATACATCAGTCCGTCTATGACTCAACAAGAACTGGGTAGCTGTTATGACTGTTTTCGCTATGTGCTGACCTCCCAAAAGACAGGTTATGTCTGACTAGCAGCTCCCTGGATTTCTCCTTTGCAGTCTCCTTATCCCAGTTGTGATTAAGTCAGCATTTGTGTCTTTACTTGACTCTACACTGGTAGGGATCTTATTCACTGCTTTTTTTTTTAACTCCAGTCCTTAACACCATGCTTGGCATATGGTAGACTCGAGAAAACATTTAGTGTAGACAGGCAGGCAGGTAGATAAAAAAGGAAGGAAAGATGAAGGAAAGGAGGGAAGCTAAAGGGAGGGGAGGGTTGATGTTATTAACTGATGCAAGCTCAGACCAGAGAAGTGGTAGCAGAACTGGGGCAAAAAATGTGGGAACCACCCCAGTTAAATAATACTGCCAAGACAAGCATAATGGGAAGAAGATTCAGAATTTCTTTAACATCTATCTACACAGGCAATAGAGAAATAGATAAACAAATATAAAACACAGGAGGCCCTGCTGTAAACCCAGGGGCAGGCTCCACCTCCCTTCGACCGTGGGTGGACCCATGGCTGGATAGAAGGAGGCTGCATGGAGATGAATGAGCCTCCCAGCTTAAAGGCCCCTTTTCAGCAGAGAGCCAGACTCAGAGCTACCCCAAGTCCTCACGACAGCCCCATTCAGTATATGGCAAGAAAAACTTCGCTTCGCTTACGTCAAATGTAAAGATATGACTGGATGGCTTTATTTTATCTGAGGAAGGGCTGTAATCCTGGGACCTTGTTCTGGGAGGAAGCAGACAGTGAACACACACAGGCTGTGGAGGGTGTGGGTGGCTGCTGGAACAACTCCTACATTCCTCCATAAGCTAAAGATGGTCAAGGGTAGAAACCACCCCTTTGATTATGCAGTAAGCTGAACTTGGCCTCAAGGAGGCTCTATTGTCAAGTTACAATAGGCATAAATTCTTCACCATGCAGGGTCAGAGGAGGGTAGCAACATTCTAAAGGGCAAGAAAATAAGCCCACTTGCTGATTCCCCCCTAACAGTCCAGCGAGGCGGAGGGTCCCACGGTGCAATCGCCAGGGGATGCTTTCAGCTGGGTGTGAAAAGGAAAGTGCCCACATTCTCATCAAGCCGTGCTCAGCACTGAGGAAACTAAAAGGGTTCCATAAATGTTAATAAGCATTGTGGCTGTCTCTCCACAAAAATGTTCCCTTTCCCTACAATGAGTTTTCCACTGAAAATGTAAAAGAGGGTGCATTCTGCTCCCCTATTTCAAAGGGGTGACAGGAAGTCAGGAGGAGACAAATGCTAGAAATCACTTTCATCTGTGCACCTGCCAAGGCTGGAGGGAAGACATTCAGCTCTACTCCCAGAGTGGTGGCAGACCCATCCAAGGTCCTGACAGCCAGTTAATGACAAGACAAAAAAACAATACTGCTACTAATAATAATGGCCAGCATTCATTAGCCACTTAATAGATAGAGCAGACACCATGCTGAATGCTTTACACACCGGGGATCTTTGCACCTTTCTCATTCAAGCCTCAGCTTCACAGCACCCTCTTAGGGAGACCCTTCCTGACCCCTCTAGCTGATAAGGCCACCCTTATGGCCACCTCCCTCTCTCTATACCCTTCCCATTTTATCTTCTCTGGAGCATCTCACACCAACTGCTTTATTAGCTGCATATTTAGCCTGTTTTTGTAGGACCCAGGGAGCTAAGAATGGTTGTCATATTGCTTGAGGGTTGTTAAGAAAAAAAAGAAAATCTCTAAATGCAGCTCCTGTAAGAGTGTCTGCTTGAGGAAGTTGAAGGATACACTGAGCCAGTGCACAGACAGTACTGCATAATGCTTAGGAACATGGCTCTAAGTCCAGGCTAAAGCCACTCTCTAGCTGTGTGACCCTGGGCAGGTTACATAACCTCTCTGTGCACCAGTTTTCTCATTCATCTAGTAGAGAAATAATAGTACCTGCCTCAGAGGTCCTGGTGAGGATTACATGTCAGGTGCTCAAGAATACGCCTGGGCCAGGGGGTCACTGCTCAATAAGTGTCAGTCTTTTTTAACCCAGAGTGAGTGTTCTATAAGTACAAACTTCCTTTCTTCCTTTCTTTTTCAGAGCAAACTTGAATTTCTCCTGGCTCCTCAAGGGACAGTCACTGGAGGTCTTAGGGACATGTTTCCAAAGTACATAAAGAACAAGAGCATCTCCATCCTGGGTCTTCACATTGCAACCTCACCTGAAATCAGGAAGATCAGATCAGCTGGTCACACACCATTATCAGCAGGGCTCCTGAGTCCAAACCAGACAGGAGGATGAACACCTTGAACCCAAAAAGCAATCCCAGGACCATTTCTCTACCCGCTCCCACACTGCCTCCTTTGACCATTCAGCTGAACAGGGCACAAATAGGTTTCTACTTAAAATCAAAAGTCAGCCTCAAGATATTCACACTTCAGCCTATATGAAATTTGGCTGTTCATCCACTTGTTCTTTTTGAAAACCTACCATGTACCAGGCTACACAGGAGGGAGCCAGCGCGACTGCTCCAGCCCTCAAGGTGGGAGGTGGGGTGGGGAGGGTACGGGCAATAAGCAAAACTCACACCAGTAATTACATAATTACCCTCATGGCCAGGGCTACCAAAGAAATGCACAGACATGCCCGGCATTGCAGAGGAAAACTCCTCTCCAGTTTTCCTCAATTCTCACATCTCCAAAGAAACACAGAGGTAAGGAAGGGGCCCAGTAGGAAGAGATTACCAAACGTCTGCAATCACACACCCTTCACCCCCAAAAATCCCATTTGTTCCTGCACAAGTCAGAGAGCCTGCAAGGAGGAGGGAACTCAGGTGTTTGAGCCCGACTCACAGTACAGCCACGTTCATAAATGTTCTCAAGTCTAGACAGCACCGTGTGCCTTATAAAACGGTCTGCTTTTAAATAAGGCCACCCTATGGTTTAATGTTTAAACCTTCTGCAGCAGCAGGTTTGGTGAAGAACCTGTGAATCCTGCCCTGTGGTGCCTGCCTGTTTCGGAAGCAAACTCAGGCACAGCCTCCTCTTGAGGGTTGGAGGTTTTTCCTTTTTTGAATAATCACCAAAAACCACCTGCTCTGCGGCCTGCTGGGCATCCTCTCCCACATTCGCTGCTGTGGGTGTTCAGAGCTTGGTGACCTAGGAAGGGCTGGGGGATGCAGAGTGGAAGAGTACATGCTCAGACTGTCATCGGCTGGGTAACCTCAGGCAAGCCCAAACTTCCCAGGTCACAGTTTCCTCACCTGTAAAATGGGGTTAGAAAATCCTGTTTCTTGGGGTTGTTGTGAGGAGTGGAAACTAGGTAAGTAAAGGCCCCAGGGCACAGTATTCACTGAATGGCAGTGATTATAAACCACATTTAAGGGGTAATGAGCCCACAGCAAATCATATCATAGGTCTCTCAGCTCCCCTCCACCACTATACATATCCTCCCCCTCCCCACATTTGCACAGTGGCAAAAGCAGGTTAAAATTAATATCTGGCCAGCCCCAGGGTATCCTGGTGTCTTATCGAGAGGATGCCTGTGTAGTGTAGGACCAGCCTTGGGGGCGTGGCAGAGAGTCTGGGCAGGTGGTATGTTGTCGAGGCTCTAACCAAGAGAATCCCTGCCCTCCTCCTTTTGCAACCATCTCCCTGCATGCTCATTCATTGATATAAGCTGGCCTTCAAGGAGTATTCTTGAAATGCC